AGTTGGCTGCCTTGTCCTGCAAGTCTCCGTTGCTGGTTTTGCATCGGGACAAGGCGGTTCTCCGTCCTCGGCCGGCGTTCCTGCCGAAGGTTGTGTCGGCATTCCATCTGAATGAGGAAATTGTCTTACCTTCCCTGTGTCCGAAGCCGGTCTATAAGAAGGAGCGTGCGCTCCACTGTTTGGATGTGGTTCGCGCTTTTCGTGTTTATTTGGAAGCTACGGCTTCTTTCCGCGAGAACGACTCCCTGTTCGTGCTCACGGAGGGCCCTCGTAAGGGTCGGGCCGCGTCGGCGGCTACCATCTCTAGGTGGATACTTAATGTTGTGATTCAGGCGTACGCCGTTAAGGGGCGTGAGCCTCCATTTTCTGTCACTGCCCATTCTACTAGGGCTGTTGGGGCTTCCTGGGCTTTCCGCCATGGGGCCTCTGTTTCTCAGGTTTGTAAGGCCGCTACTTGGTCTTCTGTTCACACCTGGACGTGTTTGCATCGGCGGATGCTGGTTTGGGGCGCAATGTGTTGCAGGCTGCTTTTCATGGAAGGACACAGGTCCCGCCCTCTTTTATGGGGTGTACACTCCTAACTGCTTGTTACTTACTGGAGACTTGTCAGCAAGTGAGGGGTTGGGCCACCAGCAGGGGCCGCCCCTAGGCTGTCTTGTCTTTTAGTTATGTGCCTAGCGTCCTACTCCTGCAGGTGGCGATATACCCTACCATTCAGGCTCTACGATCTGTTGCCCTGTGTCCTTCAATGAACGGAGAGAAAAGGATTTTACGGTGAGTACAAAAATCCTATTTTTTTGTCAGCTTGTTTTTCTCACGTTTTTTAACGCGTTTTTCCGTTCAGTGAAACGCACGTTTCACTGGCGGTATTATTTTATATTTTTTTTTTTCCTTTATTTTCTCTATTTAAAAAAAAAAAATATATATATTTTTAGTTTCACTTTTAAACTTTCCGCCCCCCTGCGACGTGGTTGCTCTCAAGAGATGGAACCCGGAAGTCGGCAGCCGCCGGAGGACACAGCGGGAATCGCGGACAAGGTAAGACCTGTACGCTGTATTCCCGAGTGTGGCTCGAGGTTACCGCTTTGTTAACCCCGAGCCACTCTCGGGAATACCAAAGGCAACGCACGGCAAAACGCCCCAAAGAAGCTCCTGTACTTCTTTGGGTGTAGGGCGTTTTGCAGCGCGTTCCTACGCGCTGTAAAATGCCCAGGTGGGAACCATGCCCATAGGCAATCATTGGTTTTCACATGTTTAGCGTTTTACAGGGCGTGGGAACGCGCTGTAATACACCCAGGTGTGAACCAGGCCTTATGGTTTTGCCCTTCGGTCACACAGATGCTCTCTTGCTCTTTCACAAGTAGCTCTGTAATCCATATCTTGGTGGCTTCACAGGATTGGTACAGTATAAAACAGATGAACTGAATCATTATATGTTGTGATCCCTAAAGTTTTAGAGTTCCGTTTTCTTGGGCTCCGACAGTTTTTGGACCCCAAACAATTTAGCTCTTAGTACTGAATGCATTTTATTTATAATTTGAGGGCCCAAAAACTATATTGTGGAACCTAAAAAATTTATAATGAGAAACTATTTATTGTCCTGACCGAAAAGCAGACTGCCTCCCTCATCGATTGACACTTTTACAGTATAATAATATTTGATGACGCATGGAAACCATCATTGATGACTATTAACATTTGCACATCATCCCATATTGTTTTAAAGCAGGATTAAATTCTCAAACTTTTTTCAACAATGAATCCAGATCAACCTTGCCCTGCAAAGTATTTTTCTACATTTTTGTCCAAGTACTTAGTCATCGTGTTTCTGAACAGCTCCAACTCTGGCAGATCAGCTTCCCTGAACTTCCTGTCCAATACAAGATCACGAGGGACTGAGTCTCCAGCAGATGTCCATATAGTAGCTCAGAGGGGGGAGTGCAGGGAGAGGGAGGAGGGGAATGTCTTGCCTTGCTGTGCCTGAGTGTTTGTGGAGATACAGCTTACTAGCACACACAGGGCCGGCCTTAGGGGTGTGCGAGCAGTGCGGCCGCACAGGGACAAAAGGGTGGCTCCATAGGACCCTGCAAGAGAAAAGAGTCACGCTAAAACATGCTCTGCTATACTCAGAAGTGTCATGCATTCTCTCCAGCTGCTGTGGCGCAAACATCTGGAGGGAATGCAGGTAAGGTGAGTATAAGAGAGATGCCGGGTAACTTTTCCAGAGAGACTAATACTTTGCCCTCCACGGGCAAGATTACAAGAGTCAACCTAATGTTCTTATATTGCAGGAGTATTGAATTGAAATTCAGGGAGGTCCAGTCTGTAAAATTGTACTCCAGCAGAGGTCTGAATTTCATGTTTCTGCTAGACTAGAGTGCCCCTTTAAATGTGGTGTCCCCATCAGAATGCACCTTTATATTAGTTGTCCTCATCAGAATGCCCCCTTACATCAGGTGTCCCTATCAGAGTCCCCCCTTACATTACTTTACCCCATCAGAGAGCCCCTTATGTTAGGTGTCCCTATCAGAGTCCCTGCTTTCATTAGTTGACTCCATCATAGTTCTCCCTTTCCTCACTAGGAAGGCCGAGGGCAGACGCTGGAGGCAAATCAGGCCGCAGGTCTGGAAGGAGAAAGTCCCACTTTCATCCCCCTGTGATTGGGGGGGTACATGCCATCATTGGTTGTTAGGACACTGGCGGTTCTAGCAACCAACCACTGAAGAGTAGACTTGTGCGCCGGCCAAAAATTTGTTCCGTTTCGGAATATCCGTTATTTCGTAATTCGTGTCCAAAACTCAATTCGGATTCGTACGAAATAGGAATTTTCCTTAGTTTCGGCACATTTTCGTAACTTTACGAACATTCGTTATGATGAAGTAAAAAAGCAAAAATACCTTTGTTAATATTGGAGTCGATGTGGTAGTTGTTTTTTTTTATCCGAAATATGAATTCCGTTAACGGATTTCATATCCAAATTTCGTATTTCGGGTAAAAAAAACTACCATCAACTCCAATATATTAACAAAGGTATTTCTGCTTTCTAACTTCATCATAACGAATGTTCGCAACGGAACAAAAATACGTTAACGGAATTTCGTATTTCCTGCGTGTATTGTAATGCAACCCTCAGCAGCAGCGGATCCGAATTTCGTATTTCGGATAAAAAAAAATCTTGGCATGTTGTTCAACCTCATTTACATTTTACAGGGGTAATATTAGTCCCTGTTTCAAAGAAATTCGGATCCAAAATTCGTTAATGGAATTTTGTATTTCGGATATCATTCGGAAACTGCAATTCGGATTTCGGATGCTTCCGAATTTCAGGAAATTTGTACGAATTTCGATTCGTAACGAAACTAATCGCACATGTCTAGTGAAGAGGAGGGGGGAATCTGCGCTGGGTTATATCTCGGTGGATGCGCCGTCCTTGAAGAGTTTCCAAGTCCGGCGCATCCACAACAAGCCAACCATAACCCAGCGCAGGTGTGTGATTGCGGTCCAGAGAGAACTGTCAGTCGGTCCCTATCCGGACCATGGCCTGCTATATACAGGGCTATTCACTAAGGCCTTGTTCACACCAAATGCAGACCAGATCCGGTCAGGTTTCTGCACACGCAGTGTAGTGGGTTGTGCCGCGCTTTTGATGCGTTTTTGATGCGTTTAGGGCCGGTTTTGGTTAAAAAAAAAAGTTTAAGTTTAACATGGACTTTCAGGCACTTGCATGCGTTTTTGATGCGTTCCAGACCAGATCCAGAGCAGGTAAAATAGGGCTTGCCGCATTTTTTTCATCCGGTCTGGATCTGGTCTGGATCCGCACGCTGCGATGTGAACTGGAGCTAAAAATACCATAGGAATACATTGGACGCAGTTTTGATCCGGTCTGCACCTGCTCTGGTCCGGATCTGCTCCCCGCTTGGTGTGAACAAGCCCTCAATGGTGAAGAGTTTGGAGAAGGCCGGAGAAGTGAACAACATCACTGAACTGGAAACATTCTCCAACTCGGATCACTTTCCAGTTCAGCGATGTTGTCCTAGATTGTTCTTCTCCTCCGGCCTCCTCCAAACTCTTCACCCCTCTGTGAATACTGACAGTGAGGCCGTTTTTTTATATCATTGTATTGCTGATAGTTGTGTCTCATTTATTAAGCATTGTAATTATCCTAGTCCGATATTTCATGCTATCATATGTCTGTTAGAGATTACAATGGATCCCTTATCATTATCAGGCCATGAAAGGGTTACATTATAAGTGATAATTATCAGACATGCGCACGGATAGAAAATCTGTTCAGTTTTGTTTTGATTCGGATTTTTGCGTTATTCGTTTTTTGGGATTTGGGCCCGAAATTTGATTTGTTTGTGGCAGCGAAGTGACAGAAATAAAAACAATTTTTGTTTTAATTTGCAGAAGAGGGGAAAAAAAAGCGTGAGGTTCCCCCCCAATTCATAGCAGGCCCTTTAGGTCTGGTAGGAATTTTAAGGGGGAGCCCCAGCCCCCAAAAATGGGAGGAAAAAAACCATGGGGTCCCTCCTAACATTCCTGCCAGACCCTTGATCTGAGCACTGGCCCGGCAGGAAAGGGGGGGGGAACGATTGAGCCGCCCCCCTCTCCCTAGCCTTACTAGGCCAAGTGCCCTCGGCAGTGGGAGGGTGTCCCCATGCCGATGGGGACAAGGGCCTCTTCCCCACAACCCTGAACCGGTGGGTGTGCGGGCAAGGGGGCTTATTTGCATCGAGGTACCTCTTACAAGGGCCTCTTCCCCACAACCTCGACCCGGTGGTTGTGAGGGTCTGCGGGCAAGGGGGCTTATTTGCATCGGGGTACCCCCTTAAATAATGGGGCACCCAGATGCCGCGCCCCCCTTGTGAATGAGTAAGATCCTTAGTAACATCCTTGGGCATAGCCATCCTATTTTTCCTGGAAGTAATCCCTATCAGTGATGAAATCCCTATATTAGATATACTCCGTGTGTAACAAACTACTTCTCTCTCTCTCAGACAGTCACACTCTGCGGTATTATGAAACTGGAGTCTCCTCTCCGGGATCCGGACTTCCTGTGTATTCTTCAGTTGGATATGTGGATGATCGGGAGATAGAGAATTATAACAGTGACACTCGTCAGAATCTTCCCAAGACTGAGTGGATGAAGAAACTGGGATCTGACTACTGGGAGAGAGAGACACAAATATGTCGGGGCGCTGAGCCCGTGTACAAGCACGATGTGCGGACAGCGATGAGCCGATACAATCAGACTGGAGGTGAGACAATTCTTCCACATTTATATTTATTATACTTAATATACCCAACAGCTAGATGTAGTGTAATATAAATAACTGTGTG